AGGAATTATATGGAATTTGTGCAAAAGAGGGAAATGTGAAAGGCATAAGAAATGCATTAAATACAATCTTCTCATGTAGACTTTCCTCACTTCTTAATAATTAGTATAATTATTTTATATCAAACATTTATCTGTTTTTTTCACGTTATTATAAAAACCCATGCTCCCTTGCTTTTCAGCAATGCCATGTTGATTTCAGCATAGTTGAAAATTAGGGCTAGTAAATGCAAGCACTGAAGGTTGTAGCTAATTCAGGGCATTGTTAGCATAATTAACAGACATCAAGGCTTGTGACCTTGTTTCACATGACTGAAGTTTATACAATGCAGTCTGAACAGTAGACAGAACAAAATTAAGTAGTTTTTCTCAATCCATGCAAAATAACTTCCTATGACTAGCTACTACATGTTAAAAGCATATTTTAGGCCATTTATCAAGAATATCATTAACTTTTATAGAGTTGGCTTTTCTTTGTTTTCTGTTGCTTGTTACTTCATTTATTTATCCCATTGAGCGTCTGGTTTACTTTAGTCGGGTTCACAAGGACTTCTAGGCTGCAGTAGATTTGGGTTGGAATACTAAGGGAATTTTTTTTTTTAAATATTCCTATTTAAAAACCCCACAACTATTAATGTTTTTAAAAAGCCAAAATATCAATCATTTATTAATTACATTAGTTTTGGGAAGATTATGACTTGTGTGAGTATTGGGATAGAGATCTAAAAGATATCTTGAAATACCTACAAAAATCTCTATTTCCTGAGTCTTTAATTTATTCAACCTCTGCCCAGTATTGATTATGACAGGAGGATATCACAAAAGATGGATTCATTCACTTCAGAATTGAGTCAGGAACAAGAGAAAAATTATAGATTTTCTCCAATAGATTATGACAGGTAGTCAAAATGGTGACAAATTGCTGTCTGTAAATGTAGTTAGGGCAGTTGGACTAGACATTTCCGATAAAAACTGGAGCATACTGGTCAAATAGCAATTCTTAAATGGCCATCGTTAATTGGTAAAAACGTTATAGCCAGCACTACAGCTGCCTACTAAGGAACTTGCCCTTCCCCCTTAATCCCGCCCCGATGGAATATAATTTGCTCGTCAGTATTTTGGAGCAGACCCCAAAGTGATAGCATGACATGATCATTTATCAAACGGAGACTGCCCAGAAGAGTGTCTGGTCCCTTTAGTACAGCTTATTGAAAGGCTGGGAAGTGAAAGCACTTTATTAGAGACAGGAAGGCAATGAACAACTAGAGCGTATCGAAAGGGTAATCATATTTCAGCACAGGATTAGTGTGCTCTTAGATAAACATACACTGGAGTAAGCACGTTCTGGGTCATTTATCAAGTAAGTAACAGCTAACAAAAATCTACAGGTCTCTTTGTACACATTCGTCAAAGTTAAACTATACTTTTTTTTTCAGTAATAGACAATTTTGTGTTGCAAAACTATCTAAAAAATTCTTTCTAGTGAAATCTAGAACATGTTACAGATTTCAATTATGATGCCTGAATGCTCGGGTAGAATAAATAAATAAACTTGCTAAATGCTATTTATTTTTTAATAAACCTGGCCTAAAATATTTTTCACCTAAATTGTTGTGTTTGTGATTAAATGTTAGCACCTAAACTGTGGAGGTTATCAGATTGTTATTCTGATACATGCTGATAAAGCTTTACTGTGTAACATTATTAGATTTATCACCATTTCTTCATGTGGACTGCTCCTCAGAGTTTCATGCATTGTTTTATCAGGCTTGCTCCTCACAGAACCAGGCTTTTGCTCTCGGTTCTTCTGAAAAGACATTATAATCACTGGATAACAATAGGTGATATCAGCATCGTCATCAATAGATGAAAAATTACATGGTTTGGAGGTGTGAGGCTGTGCTGCCACTTCCTCTTCCACGTGATTCTTCTAAACATGTACATATTCCCATGTATATAAAACCATGTAATATTCCCAGGAGAATTTTCTACCAAGTGTGTAAAGCCTGCAAAAACATAATTCTCCTTGCTTGTGTTACCTAGGTGACTCCTAAATTTGAAGGAGCCAGGAGATACCTACATTGCTAGATACTTCTTTATTGGGACCAAGCTACAAAATTCTACAGACTTGGCAGATTCGAATCTGTCACATCATGATTAGTAGACTTTTTCCAAATTGCTACAACTGTAGAACATAAATTCTCTCTTATTGCATTTATATAGATTGTTTTGAATTCCTGCTCAAGCTTTTCATACTTATAAGGAAGCCTATCAAGAATGACAGTTAAGTGAAATTTTGAAAAGAAACTATTTCAGAAAGTAGGGTATCTGAGTAGAAAAGACCAATCTGCTAAGCTTTGCATCCTTTTAGCTTGAATTTATTGTATTTAAAAGACAGCAGAAGTTTCATCTAGGTCATACTGCCCTTGGGTAACCAGACAGAAACCCAGATGGAGAAAGGTATATTTCAAAAATTTCACTATTTGGGCCAGTACTATAACTGACCACCCACAGTTACGTAGAGGGGGATTACTGTTTCTCCTGTAAAATGCACACACACACACACACACACACACATATATATATATACACTCATTTATCTATATATAAAAAGAGCAAGTGGAGCAGAGGGGCAGAATCACCTCCCTTGACCTGCTTAATAAACATCCATTTTATATAACACAGGGGTTTTTTACTGGTAATTTCTCAGCTTTAAGTGCTTATAAGTAGGATTGTAGTGGTAATTTCCCGTAGCTGGCATTACTATATACTTTTCCAACTGCATCACCATTTCTTCTGTGCAATTATAATACATTCAGGGAATTCTACACACCACTCTATTTGAAAATGCACATTCTTAATGTACATATTAATACTTGAATAGTCTCATTGAAGTTATTTCTGTGTGCAGGACTTGGGCCTGGCTGAACAAACAGCGTTACTATTGAATTTTACTCTGCAAGGGGAAAAATAATCACAGTGTTCTGTTCTTATATCATTTGCAGGATTTGGAGGATGCATTAAAGAAATGGACAAAGCTATGCAGAATGGAACTTATAGGAAACCCTATCTGCCGGAAACCAAAGTACAGAGACAGGATTGTAGTACAGTCACAAACTTTAGGTAAAAAAACCAATAGTGAGCCCCAAAACTCACCAATAAACCTGTTTTAGAAAATGACTGATACATGGTTAGTTCTTGAATTGCACTATGTATGTAAACACAATTACTGCCACAGATATTTATGTCAAATGATAAATTTAAAATTTTTATACAGGTAATGTAGCTAAAACTGCCCATGTGGTCAACTGCACAGTGTTGTTTAGCTATTGCTATTAATTTTAATCATTTGTTTTAGTAATGGATGATTAGTGAGATTGTTATAAGACAATAAGACTTTTTTGTGTTCATATTGCAGATGTTGTGAAACTGATTTTCAAATATATGTTTAGTCTACTGCCCTGTCAGCCTGTAATAGTGGCTTAGGTGTTTCATTTGTACAGTTCATACCTTGCTGTGTTTAATTTTGTTACATAACATTTGTCCTTAAAAGCAGTTTACACTTATGTTATAAATGTATTTGTTAATCTTAACCTTAATGTGGTGCCGTTTACATTATTATTTTGAGATAATTCTAGCATAAAAGGAAGAAACTTAGTCTTCTATATGAAAGTATTCATACTGTAGAAACCAGTAAAAATATTCAGCTAATTTTTTACTTTTTTGGATAAAGGTGGCAATTATCTAAAAAGTTTTAATTACAGAACTTGTTTTTCTTTTTTTCTGAAAATACCAAATATTTGCCATAAAGAAAAAGAAAAAGCCTGTCTGCACAATGAAAATAACAGTGCCTCAGGAGAGTTCTAATGCAACCTAATTTGTGGCCAAATGAGGTATTTCATTTGGTCTGACTCAAAGTTGCAGATGCAACCAAGGAAACCTAGAGCATAAACTTTATGGCATCCAAGTGAGCAAAGTTAACCTTAAAAAGCCAAATCTGTCTGTCTTCATGATCAATAGGATTCCTTGATTGCTAAGACATGCAGTTTGTTTCTTTTAACCTGAATTTCTGCATCTATATATATCTTGTGTTAGAGTATGGCTTTTCTTCAGAACTTTCTATAACGTGTTGCACGTCAGCTAGATGTGAATGTATATACTTTTCTTTGAAGTTATAAAAATAAAAGATACTTTCTTAAGATGTGTCAACACACTCTTGCAACTTATTAAAATATATCAAGCTTTTTTACCAAAAAAAGTACAAAAAGTATTTGAAAAGAGCAAATCTAGAACCAGTACACATTGCATACAGCTTTTTACAGCCTTTTAGTTAGCTCTGGGTATCACAGAATACGTCGCCTTCTCTTTGACAGAATCCCTTGATGGGAAAGAAATTAAAGAAATGGAAAGACGGTTCCTAATGAATTGGAAAGCCTCCAAAGCTGCCAGGGAAAAGAACAAAGAACGAACGACAAATGAACATGCAGCCTATCTACATTTTTGTAAGAAAACTAATAAATTACTTCATGATTATTTGCAATATTATAGAAACAATAAAATAGCAGCTAACAGAAGATACACTAGGAATGAGACCTGTCCTGGTGGTGAGACCAAAACACAGGAGTAGAAGATGAAATTTTCCAATATAAAATTTAATTTTAGTTCATGTGGTGGTTTTTTCCTTCCATCCCAGTCTCACAGAATTATGAAAAGGAGTAGCTGGTATATTTTGAATGTTTGTAAATACTCATTATTGCTTTCCATATTGAAAAAAAATAAATGTTGGGCATTCTAGAATAAATATCCATGAAATACATCAGACTTTACAAATCTATTTGTTGGTACTTATTTATTCTTTGTAAATTGCCAGTCCTTCTAAAGGCCTTCACAAGATACCTGTCTAGGAGAAGTAGAAGTTTTAAACTTAGAAAAGGAAAAAAAAAAGTCTTGGAGGAAAAAAAGCCTTAAACCTAAAAGAAAAGGGAACATGTTCTTGAAGCAGGAAATTAAAACAGTTTTGAAAATCAAGCAAAACCTGAAATAAACTTTGAGTTAAGAAAAAAATGGTGGGGTGGGGGTTGTTGTTGTTGTTATAGAGTTGACTGCAGATTAAAACATAAATGGCTTAACAGCATGTCTTGCCATCTTGCAGGATTTGGAAACAGACATTAGACTGCAAAATACTCAAAATTATTTGAATGACCATGTTTATAAAATAAAATTGGTGGCAGTTATATTGCTGCTTTCAGAAGATAACTGTGATATACTTGGGGGAGAGAGCATGCTCTTCATAGCCGTACTATCCCAAGTTGTTAATTCATGAAATCTCATGCAGACCAGTTATTTTTTAAGCCATTAAGTGAAAAGCACTCAGCCTGTCAGCCTCAGCCCCAACAAAGTTGCAGCCTGCTCTGTGTTTGGAAGCTATATATGAATGGCAATGGATCTGAAAGTATTACTCTGTCTTATGAATAACTACTGATCTAAGGAGGTGCTCTGTAACCTAATTTACTTCCTTTCAAATAAATACCTAAATGGGAATACCTGCTGTAATAGTCACCTTCATCAGTGTTTGCAGCACTTTCCATAAATTCATGCAAAGTTTTCCATTCTCAAATATCAAATTTGAGGCATTTTACCTTAAGGCTTATTACAGTGTTCTCTACAACAAGATATATTGGAACCTGTGATCAGTCATACTGAATATTCAAATAGATACGGTTTGACTTGGGATATTGAATTAATCCTTTTTTCTTTGTTTTCTGCAGCTGACTTTGAAACACCTTATCCTGTTCTTCCCTTTCACTACAGTTCATCTGTGAAAGAAAAACCAAATTTTTTAGTTTTGTTTGAGACTCACAAAGTTAAAAGAAAACCTCTGCCAAGAATCTTGGGAAAAAAAATCAGATGAAAACTCAGGTATGTTTCTCAGACTTCTTCCTCTTAGTTCTGTTGGTTATTGCTTGTACAGCTTTTACTGAATCAGGTGGAAAATGAGTACATGAAGATAGAATTTCATCTGAAGTCAGTTTTGGGGTTTTATTAACCATGTTATATTTGTTGTCTTCATTTCTTTGAAAGACAGGATAATAGATTTCAGTTTCTGGTTAAAAATCAGTAGAGTAGCTAATAGCAATAACTTTACTCCGGTGTTGTAGTTTCTGTCATAGGCATTTGATTGTAAACTTCCACAAAGGCAAAATAATATCAAAGTTAATTCTTGGAAGTACCATTACGGTCATCAACGTTGGTGAAGGTTGATCCCATGCACACAGTCATATGCAGAAGGAGAAACAATCACTTTTCGTTGTTATAGCTCACTTCTAATAGACACGTTCCAGTGTAGTGTATACTTGATTAACATCTTCCTGTAGCATCAGCTCAAGACCATCAGGGTAATCAGGAAAGAAAATTTGATGTGTGTGCCTTACAGACATTTAGACATTTCATGAATGTAAACAATCCAGAGTTCAGCACATGTATTCCTTACTCACATAAGCAGCGTTGTGAACTCTAATGTAACTGTTTGTGGAAATAATATCTGCTCATAGGGTTGCCCATAGTTTTTCCAGTTTTATCTGTCATAGTAGTTTTGTTCAGTATTTGGGACTTAATATCACTGCTTCCAGATTTTTAATGCTACTTTTAACCTCTTATTACTTATCAGCTGTACTGGCCAACAAAAAAATCATCATTTATGCTCTGCTGTAGATAAAATAAATAAATATCTTCAACTGACACAGGTATTCCTTTGTAAATAAGTTACTAAATGTAGTGGTTTATTTTACATTCAAATCAGAATGTATTGGTATGTTTGAAAATTTAACGGAGCAACATTTAATACTATTTTATTCTTGACAACTTACCCCTTTCCATTGCATCATTTTTTTCTCCTACCGAGTATTTGTTCTGATTAAAAATAGCTGCCTCTCCCGTGAGTAGGGAAGAAGAATTACAAATCACAGAACTGCTCTCTTCCAAAGTATCATTTTGTTCTTCATATGACAATGGATATATTCCAGCCTAAAACCAAACTGAACTCATCGCATATGTGCCCATACTTGAATTTTTTTCCTGTTGCAGAAGGCACTTTGCAGTGAAGAAGTTTAAAAACAAGAACTGGAAGAGCAATGCACTAATTATCACAAAAAAGTACTACTATATGATTATTTTCCAGAGAACAGTCCAGGCTTGTGTGATTTTGAGGGGCACAGCCTAACACTCATGCAATACAAATATCCTTTTTTTTTTCCTTGTAATTCCATTGTAAAATGAGTTTGTCCACCTGCTCAGTGTTCTGTCAGCCAGCATTTCACCTTTATTAGCATTCTGCCTTTTAGGCCAGGCTGAATAAAACTCTGCTTTTCATTTACCATTCCCTTTAGTCCTAACAAAGGGTGGAACGTGCATGTACAGCACATCCCAGAAAGCTGTTTTCTTCCGTGTAAGACCTTGTGCTATGTCCTTTGAGATTAAAGCTTTCTGATTCTACTCTACTATGTTACAAAGCTGTCCAATTGGTGAACTTCTTACCTTGAAAAAATTTTCCCAGTACTAGGAAGCTGGAGTACAATCCTGGCCCTGTGGAAATCCATTTTGACACAAGAAAAGCAAAGATTGCATCTTCCATACTTGATTGGAAAAAAAAAGTCTATATTTGTGTTAATTTACATTTGCAAATGAAACAATTGGAGTGATTTTGATTTAAAAAAAAAATTCTTTTACTATTAGTCTAGAAAATTAGACTGATTCACATAAAGGTTAGAATAAACTACAGTCAGATGGCTTGCATTTAATACTTTCAAATAACTTGTAAGTAGAACTTTTATCTTGGATGCTGAAGGTTGCTGTATATTACAATTTCATATAGAATCACTGATCTTGAGACAGACACTTGCATATTCTAATCTTGTTACTAACAGAGTTCCATGGAAACCCAAAGAGTTTTGTGAATTAGTTAAAGGTTTTTGAAGTCTTTAAAATGTTTTTTTTTGGGGGGGAGGGGGAAATAACTCAAAATAGAGAAATATTCATTCTCAGAGTATATGCAGATAGGAAATAATGACAAATCACAGCATTCTCTTCCCAGAGGCAGTAATTAGGGGTATGCATAAATGTGCCCACTTGTAAAGCGAGGAGATTTTGTCAAACTGAACAAATACCTGTATTGTTGAATTGAAATTCAGTATTGGACCAAAGAAATCAGTGAATTTTAATCCTACCCTCTGTGTTAGTCAAATAAATTATTCCAACAGATGTTTCCTCTTTCCTTAAAAATGCTAGGTGATGTTTGACCTTGGCAACTGAAAAACAGGCATTAAATACCTTCTTAACCTACATCTAAGATCCACTGAGAATTACACACAGCTTAAACAATTAAGAAGCCAGCTATTACTAAATTACTGAAATATGTAATTAATCTTTCTTTTTTGATGATAAGAACAATAGCAATTTTATATTGGATTTTAAGTTAGTTTTGAGTGTTTAGAGAGAATTATGGATATTGGCAGGAAGTAATTAAAAGAAAACAAATCACTTAGCTATTTTAAAGAGAACTAATACCTTCCAATGGGACACACTATTATTAATTTTCCCTGAGCAATGAAGTTGTTGAAATTTTGATGTTGTAAACTTAACCTGTAACTAGCACTTTCTGGCCACGTTTCCTTAGTTATGAAATTAAATATTGTAGTAGGTATTTGTAGCAATATTGTAGCAACTCAAAATTTGGTGAGAAAGTCACCTTTTGTCTCTCCGGTGTACGTTATGTGATTAGCAATATGGTAATATCTTTAAATTATATAGTCAGCATATAATAAATTCACTGGATTGTGCCAGCTAATCCCAAACTGCTCTTGTAGCCACCATGCACATCCTGCGTAGTTCAAGTTCTAGTTCAAGAGGAAGGAACTTGCAGTGAGCAATGTTAATTCTCCCTCTTCTTAGCTCTTCAGCAGGTGCTCTTATCAACATTGTATTTATTTATTTATAAAATATTTATAAATGTGTTGAGGTGATTTGTGTGGTTTGAAATCTATATAGTGTGATGTAGATTTGATAACAGGTGAGAATGTGCACGTTCTGCATGCATAGCGGGCTTTTGTTTATATGAATCTAACTGACATGATAATAACTAGAATTCTTAAGGCCTGTTGTATGGCAGGTTTTTGGGAGGTCTGATGCTGAGATTATAATGGTTGTATACCCAAACCACAACTTTTACAGTCCTGTGCTTATTTCAGATTACGGAATGTAGTTCTCTTATTTGAGAGGGCAGTGGGGGAATATGTTACTTCTAGGTAACCTTAAATCTTGTTCTCTTCCTGAATATCAATTTCACCAAACTTCTGAAAATTCAGAAAGAACAAATATTCTCAGCCTTGGCTTGGGAAAAGGAGAAATACAGCATTAAGACACAAATCAGTGCAGTTTTAGCTGTGCACCCGGGAGCGGTTTTAGCCACTGAATAGCCTACAAGCACTCCAACTGCACTCAGAATTAGGTGAGTTAAATATTTGGAGATAGCAGCTGGAGCACTTCGGCAGAGCTGAGACCATGTTTTGGACAGACCTGGAGTGCGTTTTCCAGCAGATTTAGCCCACCTCACTGCCTTTCCTTGGTAGTGGTGGTGAAGGAAAGATGTAAACATCTTCTCAGTGAGGTCTGGAAGGTGTCAATCGGCAATTAGTGACGAAGGCTGCAAAAAAGAAATGTAAGGAATTTACTTGCCATTTAATTAGTCAGCCATGATGTGCGATATGAGAGGAGTCACGATAATGCTAGATAAGGTGTTAGGATAAAGACATGAGATCCTGAAATTAAATAGTGTGGCTGAAGCAGAGCCACTTAAATGGAGGATGGGTATCAGCAGTTTCTGGTTACTGGGGCCCATGTAAAGTTTTAGCAGGCAATTCAGCCGATTTAGTGGTTGCTTCTCTTTTTTCTGCAGGATATGCACTACCTGCAAAGGTAAGTGTAAGTGCTTTTGTAGGAACATAATTAATATTACAATAATTTATACCTTCATGGTATTTTCTGTATCCAACTTTACAGCCTTGCTGAATATGGTACTGAATGATTCTGCCCATGATAACTCATGATCTGTTTAGAAGAAAAAATACAACTCTGTCACTACAAACACACAAGATGGTATACAAATGGCATTATCTTCTGTCTAAACTTAAATTTCAGTAGTGGTAGTAAAAAAAAAAAGTACTTTTAATACATGCCAAATATGTAGTACTTACTCTGCAAAATCAGTGTCCTAAAGACAAGTGATAAGGCATCCATCCCTCTTCGGCCTCCCCACTTTTTGCTGCTGGCTGTGCCCAAAACTGGGAAAGAGAAAGTATCTAAAATATGCTTACAGAACGCGTGCACTGATAGACGCACTGTGCCCTTGAAAATAAATGTTTTTCCAAATTGCTGAGAGAGAGAGCACATCTGATGAGCAGATTGCTAGCTGGACCACACGTACTCCTACACAGCTGGATGACCAGATAACACACAGACACATTCTTGTGGGAGGTGTATACCTGCCGATGGGCAAGCTGGCAGGAGCACATTTGCTGCATGAGTCTGCTACCTCTTCCAGGAGACAAGTGCTATTAGTGCTATTTTCCAGATGTATATTTTGCTGGTTTTCTTTCCAGACAGTGTTTGAGTTACTGATCTAAACTTCACATTTGAACTCTAGCTCAGTAACCAATGAACAATTCCTTTTTTCTTAAAAGTCACATTAAAAATAGTGCAAACTGCAACTTAATTTAATGCCATATTATTTCTTTATATATGCAGCTAGAAAGCAGTGCATAGCACTGCCTGTGATACAGCTATAAAAACCACACAGAAGTTCTGAGATTGGGGCAGAAAGGGGGAAAAAATAGCCAAAAAAATGAGTCAGTGTTCCAG